TTATTGCAGCCTCCTGCTGGCTGTTGATTGGTTCAGAGGTGCAGAGGTGGCTGCAGGACTGAACTATGCCAATGATCTCTCTCTCTGCTTTTTTTTTTTTTTGTGCTAGAAGATCAGTTAAGACAGTCAAAACAGTCTCTTTCTGATGGTAGGATCTGTAAAATAAAAGAAAACTCAGGATCAAGCCAGACACAGTGGCACATGTCTGTCATCCCAGCACTCTGGAAGAGCGAGGGAGTAGGATCTTGAGTTTCAGCCCAGCCTGGGGAATTTAGCAAGACTCTGTGTCAAAAAAAAAAAAAAAAAAAAAAGAGCTGGAGAAGTAGCTTGTGTAAAGACCCTAGGTATCCCTATGAGTACAGGGGAAAACCAAAATAAAACTAGCTCTTCTGGGAGTCACGTGTAGGGTGTGTGTGTGTGTGTGTGTAAAGCATGAAGGTGGTGGTGAGGGGTGTGACGAGAAGCCCAGAGCACAGGCGCCTTGGTTGCAGTTGTCTCCGGGCCAGTTCCAGCCCCTCTGTGGCTGCTTGCTGCAGCCTGCCTGCCTTGGGTTCTGAGGGCAACACAATCCTTTTCATGCCTAAGCTTGTTTGATTCAGGATCCTCTCATGTGCAACCTGGATAACCCACTGCCTATTCCTTTTCTCTTTGAAGTTACTCAGAGGTATCTACACAGAGGTTCATTTTTAACAACCTCCCACCTGTCTTCAATTTAATTTCCTTTAGAAAACTCTGGCCATGAAATCTGTACTTCTATGGGCTAGCACAGCTTTTTCTGAAAGTGTATTTTGTGAGCTCCTCCAGGGAAAAGAAGGTTTCCATGGCCAAAGGCATTTGGAAAATAAACGCTGCGTGCAATATTTCTATCCTGGAGATTCATGATGTAGCATATTAAAGAACTCCTGCAATGAATAAGTGTGGGTAATGCTATTTAAACAGGGTTTCCTAGCTTCTTTTTGGACCCTGGAACATTTTATTCATGTAATGTATGATACCCCAAACTCCTGCTTCTCCACAGGGCCCATTTTGGGGCAGCCTGAACAACTGAGCTTATCTCTTAAAATGGCATATTAGTGGGGTGCTCTGAAAGATACATTTGATCAGTGGGGTTCCAAACTAGGGGCCATTATCAGTCTGAAGGAAGGGATAGTTTTGATAATTGTCATAGAGTTGCTTCCTACTCACCCACCTTGGTGCCCTATTGCTGTGATCTTGCAGATCACGCCCACCTCTCTCAAAGGCACTGCTTGCTCATTGGGATTATACCTGGGGGGGGGGCACCCACACTGCTCCTGGACCTTCTCAGCCTGAAGAAATATATGACGAAAGAAGCCCTCAGGTAAGAATCTCGATGTTCTAGCTGCAGGGGGTGGGGAGCAACCAACTTAGTTTCTCTAGTGGAGTCTAGGAACTGTGCCTGCTACTTGGACTATGATGAGGGGAAGACCAAGAATGAGGAACTTCACAGCCTCAGAAGGATGTGGGAAGTGGCTACCGAGTCAAACAACCAAGAACCTCCCTGGAGCTGTGTGAAACTGTGTCCCACAATGCTACCCGCTCCCCAATATGGTAGCCCTTAGCCCCTCAGGGCTGTTTAACTTTATTTATTTATTTTTGTTAATTCTCTTGAGAAACAAATAGCAGTGAGACAGTTTCAAAACCAATTAGTAGGACAGTTTCAATAATTAATACATCGCATATTGTTGTCTTTGTAGTGGTTATTCATAGTACAAGACGCAGACATGATATCGTGTCCAAACACTATTAGTACAACTCTTTCTTCTCACTGAATTAAGAGAAAGTAGCTGTATATCTATCCTATTTTGTATATACAGATACAAAGCGGTCCTTCATTTGTATCCCCCTTTTTGTTGAGTTTTGTCAGAGATTGTGTGTTCCATTGCCATTTAAATATTGTTGGTGTGTAAATTCAGCAAAATAATCCAATATAGTCCAGTAGTAAAAGATGTCTTTGTTTTACTTTTTTTTTTTTTTTTTTTCTGTACTGGAGATTGAACCAGGGCCTTGCACTTGCCAGGCAAGCACTTATTCTACTGAGCTATCTTCCTGACCCCAGGGCTGTTTAATTTTAGATTAGTTAAAATTCAGTGGAACTAAACATTTAGTTTCTCATGCTCCCTAGGGACACCTTAGTGTCTCACAACACAGAGCATTCCCATGATTCCAGAAAGTTCTACTGGACAGCACTGATTAGTTTCTTCTCTAAACAGTTTCTTCTGTCTACTCCTAACTCCACATGCCATGTTTCAAACCCATCCTTCACACAGCCTACTTCCCCAACTACTTATCCTCAAGAGAAATAATCTAAAGGACAGTACCGGTCTATCAGCCAGAGGAAGCTCCAGCTCCCAGCAGGAGGGAGATGGGAGTTCTCTTGTAGATTTAGTGCATGTGTCTGGCTTCCTAATGAAATAATATGCTCCAGAGATGCAGGATTTTGGTCTTATGTCTTCTATATTTCTGACTATATCTTGCAGTGTTGGGTTCATGCAAGTCCTTCCTATTACATATTTGTCTTGAATTGGTAGAGTTCATGGCCGGATGGCCTGAGTGACTGCCTAGAAGCTTAGGTCACTACAGCCTTGGCTTGGCCATGAAGTTACCTCATGACATTCAGTATATCATCATTAGTTCAGTGCACTCCCCAGGGAAATGAGCAGGTTGGCATAATCTAGTACTGTAGAGATGGCCTCAGATGTTCTCTCCTGGGCCAACCATGTGTGGCTTTGGGAGGAAGAATGCAGACCTCTGAGGGTTGCCATCTGGGATCAGAGTCCTTCTTTTCAGTGGCCAGTGCTCAGTTCTCTTGTAGATCAAGTTTTTAAAGATTTATTTGTGTATTTATTTATTTACTTATTTATTGGATATAGGATCTCACTGCACAGTTTAGACTCATAGTGATCCTCCTGTTTCAGCCTCTCCAGCACTGGGATTACAGGTGTGCACCACCATGCCCGGGTTCAGTGGCTGGCTCAGTATGCCCAGGATTCCAGGGTCAGCACGGCATGTGGTACTGACGACTGAACTCAGGTCCTTATGCTTGCCAGGCAGGTGCTTAGACCGCTGAACCATCTCCCTAGTCCGTCTTGTAGGCTATTGGCAAGGAGTTGCACTAACAAGGTTTGTGATGGAGGTCATGCCACTGATAGTGTGTGTGTATGCATGAGAGTGTGTGTGTGCATCGTCTGCACATAAGCATTTCCTCCAAAATTGGGGCATCAGGCTGCAAGGACATTACTAACATCTGGCTAGGTGGTGGTGTGGAGTCTCCAGGACCCACTTTCTTTTCTTATTTCTCTCTTTTCTTATAAGTGATTCAATAGAAAAAAGGTTTTGGTGTCTGTAAGAAGGGCCATTTTGGGGGACCCAGCTCCCCCAGGACACAGGGCACAGCCTGACCTCAGCAAGTCCTGGAAAGCCAGGCTGTGTCCACCAGCTCTCAGGGGTGCTAGAAGCTGGCACAAACAGAAAGCTTCTTCGCATTACATCTGGAATTGGAGGGGAGGGCATTCAAGTTAGAAAAGTAGACAGGATCAGCGGAGCGCCTCCTCAGAAGGCATGGGTGGGACTTGGAGTGTCCCGGAGCTGGGGGTAAGCTGCCACAAGGCATCTCTGCAGTATGCACGGGAGGCCATTTTATTTGTCAGCTGATGGGGCTGAGGGCTCACCATCATGTGAGGTCAGTGAGCGTGCTCACCTCTCCACATCAGGGCGCTCAAGCGAGAGGGGCTGCAGGAAGTGGAGAGTGCACTGATCGCGAGAGCTGGGAGCCAGCAGTCAGCATCTACCACGTGGGAGCCTGCACACCTCAGTCCTCAGGCAGCATGGCTGGACTGAGGCCACGTATCAGATTCCTCTTCCCTTGGAGGAATCGCAGGCAAGGGCAGCAGGGCCGAGGGGCCAGGCTGCTCACCTCCACCCCTTCCTCTGCTGCAGCCTGAGTGGCCAGGAGCTCCTTTCTGTTGCATTTGCTCTCCTCTTCCTGTGCTCTGGGTCCTTGCAGGCTCATTTCTTGACCACCCTCGGTTATCCTCCCTGCTATTCCTCCAGGGCAACAGGACTTTTATTTTAGTTCTCCTTGTCACTTATAGGTTTTCACTCTTGGGCACATGTTGACCTTCCTTTCCTGCTGAAACTCTATAGGGTCCCAGCATGTCTTGGCTTATGGCTGCACCACTCCAATTTCTACCTCTGGCATGGTGCCTTCTTCTTTATCTGATTTTCTGTGCTTTCTTAGGAAAGCCTTTGTGATGACATCAAGCCCATCAGATCATCAAGGACAATATCAAGACCTCATTCAAACACCTCCACACTAAAATACTTTCCCTGAACACCAGTCCCTGGAATAGGGTGAGTTCTTCTCTAGGTTGTGAATAAGGACTTGGTCCTTTTCACTTTGACTGCAGAGTCACAATTAGTGAATAATTTGTACAATGAGACGATGAATGCATGAAATAAGCTGAAGTCCTTACACATGGGTCCACCAGAATCTTGCACAACCTTGGCGCTGGTGCCCCTTGTCTATATCCTCTGGATTTCCAGCACCTCACAACCCCTCTACATTCCCATGGTGAGCAGGAACATGCTCTCATTTTGGTTGGACCTCCTACCTGGGTTAAGTATTTGGTATGGCTGAGAGAGGAAGTGAATGGCTTATCTCAACATCTCCTCCTGAAATCAGGCTACTCACTGCTCAACCATACCAGACCCTTTAAGCCTGTCACCTGCCTCCTTGCCTCCCTTCCCTCTCCGGTATTCCCCATATCTTCCCTTCTCTCACCTAGTGAAATCTGGGGAAGTCCAGGGCCTCCCAGCCCACTTCCAGGGCACTTTTATCGTTTGCTGGCATGTTGTCAGTTCCTGCTGGAGAGCAGAATTTCTAGGGTGGCCAAGACATCCCACCTGGGCCACAGCAGCCCTTCTGAGCAGGGCCTGAGCCCTTTGCCCTCCCAATGCCCCCGTCCCTGGGCCCAGCTCACCTGTCTCTCCCCAGATGGGCAGGTACTCATCTTGCTGAATGTCCAGCATGATCTCCAGCCCGTTGCCCGTCCCCCCCTTGACCGTGGTGAGCAGAGGCTTGCCATCCTCGCCTGAGTTAAACATGTAACACTTCCCATATTTTGTAAACACCTGAAGGAGAGAAGAGAGAGAGAGAAGCACATGTTGACTTCACACTGGGCTCCAGGGGTCAGTGAGACCCAGAAGTCCCACAGCAGGTCAGGGTCCCCCCTAGCCCATCACATCAACCCTTCTTGAGGCCAGTGGTTTCTCACCCTTGCTAGTGGCTGGGCTTTTGCCAAGAACGGGTAGGACAGTAAAGAACAGATCTGGACACCTTTTGGAGTTTGTTGAATAGAATCTGGTCTCTTCTCCCTTTGGACATGCCCTCAGGAAGTCCTGTCCACTTCCAAGCATTGAATATTATCTGTAAACTCCTGATCCTCCATCTACACTTCCAGCCATAGCTCTCTTCCGGGCTTCAGAAAAACAGTCCCCACTGTCAGCTAGACAGTTTCCCAGGGGCTGGCCCATAGATATGGCGTGCTCAGTGTGTCCCAGAGGGATCGGTCTGCCTCTGCTACCCTGTTCCATCAGACATTTCTGCCATGCCCCTCACCTGACATCATCATCATCATCTGCCAGGGGACCTTCAGAGTCACGCTGTCCCCTTTTCCTCTTCCTTATCCCTATGGGTAACCAACCAGCAAGGCCTGCTAACACTCTATAGCTTGAATTTAGTCTTTTCTCCTGTAATTTAGGACCCAATCATTTCTTGCCTGGAGTGCTCTGGTGGCCCCTGAAGGTCCCCTGAATCTTAGACAACTTTGCTTAGCTCATCTGCTAAACTAACTCTTTCTGAACTGCAAGTCTGATTACATTAATCTTCTGCTAATCTGCCTGGGCTCTCCCATCCTCTCTTGGATAAAACCCAGAGCCTCCATACTCTGTCTGCTATGAGGCAGTCTGTCTACCCCTTCTACTTTCCACTCTCCTGCTTACCCCTGAAGCCTACAAGTAGCTGCCAGAGACACGTCCCATGGGTTCAAGAACTGCATCTGCTTCCTGCACAACTTTCTTTGGTGGCTCGCTCATTGCCTGGTACATGGTGGTGTTCCATAAATGTATACTGAATGAATGAATGAATGAATGAGTTAGTGGGTGACAGAGCCTGACCAGAGAACTTGCAGTACTCTAGGACATACCCAGCTGGCTCACACACTACTGGCTTTCTACTTGCTAACTCCTCTCACTTCTCACTGCCTGAATATCCTCTGTAGGTCTCTGTTTGGAAAACCTCATACTGTTCTTCAGGACTGGATTATTGTAACTCACACACCAGGAAAGCTTCCAGAAATCCTAGCTCAAGCTGGGCTACTCCCCAGTTTTGGTTTTCCTTATTTCTTGACCTACTGCATAGCACTGAGTAGTTGGTTCTAACACCACCTTTCATGTTTTAAATCCCAGCCCTCAGTATGTTGCTGCCGTACAATAGGTTACTCTTGCTCAATGAAAACATGGCTATAAAGATGCAGTGTGTTGGTGTGGAAAAGCTCAGGGCCAGAAATATGGAGATATTTGTTCAAGTTTTGACTTTGTGTCTTATTGTTCATGTGATGTTGGGAAGCCAAAAAACTCCTGCAAGCCTCAATTTTTCCATCTATAAAGTGGAGGTTTTAGTCCTTGTCTTGACAGTAACCTGTCAAGGTTACTGAGAGGGTCAAATGAGGTGATGCATGCAAAATGGCTTTGAAAACTATAATAGCTTTTCTACAAATGCTATGGGTTATTATGATTATATAACTGCATTGGAATATCTAGTTGAAGCCAAATTACATCCTGCAAAATTGGATTGGAAGGGATCCAGGATAACTGTATCAGATTCCTGCAGTCACTGGGGTCCAGACCACTTCCCTGCCACTGCACCGCGTGGTCCCATCCTGCAGCATGGAGGCTGTGGTGAAGGCCCTTTCCATTCTTCATTGCGAAGGCAGGTTAATAGTAGGTGTGAGAGCTGAGGCTGCCTTTCTCATGCAGATCTTGATAACTAGGTGGAGGGGAAGAAAGATGGCCTTCCAGAATGTGCCAGATACTCATCTATGTTATTATTTTATTTTATTTATTTATTTTTTGGTGGAACCAGGGGTTGAACTGAGACCCTTGCACTTGCCAGGGAAATGCTTATTCTACTGAGCCATCTCCCTGGCTCCTCATCTATGTTATTAACCTTCCTAACTGTGATCATGGCTGGGTAAGAAATCAAGACTCTGAGAGGTTAAGTGACTTGCCTAAGGCCACACAGCTAGCAAGTAGAGAAGTTAGGATTCAAGTGCATATCTGTCTGATTCTTGTACATGTGCTCTTCCTGGGTGTGGTGTCCTGGAAGGGTCACAAAAGTGTTTGGCACTGGGTCATTCACCAGTGGAAATACATATATTACTGCACTCTGGCTTGTTCTATTCTTTTTTTGGTACTGGGACTCGAACTCATGACTTTTCGCTTTTATGCTGCTGAGCTATATTCTCTGCTTGCCTTTTTCTTTTTTTCTATCAGCCGGTCAATATTCATATGCATTTACTCTTATGGTATACATGGGGAATGCAAAAAAAATACAATGCCTACCTTGTAAGAAGGGGTATCAAAACAACAGCTTCTACATTTTTCTTCATGATACAAAACAACTCTGAGTCCCTGGCTAGCTGTACTATTTGAGAACAACCAAGCCTTACTCTCTCAGCTTCATGGTGAGGGTAAACAGCTGAAATTAGGCAAAGTCCAAAGCAAAAATAGTTTGCCAGAGAACCAAGTTTTATCACCACTATTGCATGCAGCAGTTGAATTTAGCTTGTGAACTTGTCCCCTGGAGAGATGCTGCTGGCGACCAGTGCAATGAATGGATAAGAGCATTTTATAGTTAACACATCATTACAAGGGGTTCAACACATCTGGAACTTTTAAAATAGATACTGTAAATATCCCTGTCTCCAAAACTGCTTATAGTTTTTATTTGCCTATCTATTTACCTACATAAAAAGGTTTGTAAGCAAAAGTAAATTTCAGCTTAGTGTCAAGTGAGCACAAATTTCCACTCCCCTTCTCCTTCCTCTCCCACTGTCTAGTCTGTGAACTTCAGCACGTTGGACTGAGCTTAGAATATGATGTCTTCTCCTGAAATTCCCTGAGAGCCCACCCCTGTCACCAACATGCCAAGTAGTGCTAGGAAAAGTACTGATCCTCCTGAGTGTTTGAGGATGGTGACAAAGTATGAGACCTGAAAGATGAATCAGAAAGAGAGAGAGAGAGAGAGAGAGAGAGAGAGAGAGAGAGAGAGAGAGAGAGAGGCTTGCTTGAGTTTAAAGCAAAGCTTTTGTCCAACTAGGACACTAACTCCTTGTCCAACTCATTGTCCTTCCTTTATTCCAGGCTCTTTCAGTTTCCCACTTATGAAAGGAGGTGGAGGATCTAGGGGGTTGCTGTGGTCACATCTGAACTTTAACTGATCATTGAGTGATTAATGGAGGTCAGCATGCCATCCCTCCATGTACTAAGCCTTTCCATGTATGATTTCAGGGACCACTGAGTGTCTGCTCTGTGCAGACACTGAGTGGCAGCTGAAGCCCTCGGTGCTATAGTCCTTCCCTCTACATGAGGAAGTCAACAGGTCCTTACAGTGAGAGTGAACAGAGATTCATTCCCCACCTTGACAGCCACCCTGCTATGCCTGGCATTCATCCCAACCCTGGTATACTGATGTCAGGCTGGTATACTGATGTCAGGCTGATCTTTCCTGCTCCTTCTCCTAGGGGTGGGGGATTGGGCCAGGGTCATAAGTGGGCCAATCTGAGCTAACCCAGGTCAGAACTGGCTGGGATGGAAAGCCAGAGGGCAACTATAGCCAAGGCTGAGAGAGATGGACAAGTGACAGTCTACAACAGCTGAATTCTTTCCCAAGTCAGGACCACCAGAAGGAAGCCTAAAGCTCTTTGGTGGCCTCTTGTTGCATTGGGATCCAGTCCCAGGTCCTCACTTGAGTGCTATGTGGTTCAATCCATTTCTCTCCCTCCCCATTATATCCTTCACACACACTGGCTTCTTCAGTCCTCAGGTGGTCAGTGAGCCCCCTTTTATACTGTTTCTCCTGCCTGGAATGTTCTTCTCCCATACTCTCTCCAGCCAACCTCTGCTCACACCTCAGCTTGACAACCACTTCTGAAAGGCCTTGCCTGACCATCCCACCCTGGCTCCTGCCGCTACTTAAATTGGGCTTCTTGCTTCCCAATCTCCTGCATTTTTTCTGTAATAGTGTATATCAAAGCATGCAATGAGGTAGCTGTATTAGGTGATTATTTGCTGCGCATGTCTTCCCTGCTCCATATAAGCACTGAGAGGGCAGACACAGAATGAATGATTGAGTGAGCCAGAAGGTGCCGCTGCTCTGAATGATGCTGTCCACCTCTGGGAGGTTCCCTTTGGTGCTGACTGACTTTTCTTGGTTCTGGAGCTCATGTTGACATCTTGTACTAGCTCCTTTCTCAGCTGTGGCCTGCTCAGTTTCTGCTTTACATGAGTGTCCCTAAACTTTTATGTTTGGTCCCCCACAAAAGCTTTAGAGGAAACAGTCCTTTTAGGAATGTACAGGCTGGGGGATTGTTTACCTTTGTGGGTGCAGGCCAAGGAGCTCAGGAGAAGCACAGCACCTGCTAGCTGCATGCTTTTGCTAGCTGCTCTTGCCTGGATTTCTGAGCATCATTTTCTTCTCTGCTCAACATCAAAGGCTGCTGAGCTATTTACACAGAGCACAATTTTGCTACCAACTAAGGGCAAGATGAGGTTCTCCTTTCTCATTTAGGGCATAATGACCTGGAAGTGTAACACATGCTGCAAATTTATGCCTTATCGCCCCCAGCCAGAAAACACAATTTATTTAAGTCCAGACTATCAGGCCAAGCCCTCTACTTTTGCAGACCTGCCATTCTTCCAGGCATTTCTGGGTCTTCCTGGTGAGAGCCAACAGAGCCATTTGGGAGGAAGGGCTGTAATAGCTGGGTTGCTCAAAGTCTGGAATTGCACTTAGTTGGATTGGTTTGTAAGCATTAAAAAAGGTGTGTATTTGGAAATGGGATTTCTTAGAC